TCCCCGCCCCTCGGCAAGCCGGCCGCCGCCCGGAGAGCCGCAGCCGGCTGCTCGGGCACCGTGCGGGGCAGCAGGGGGCTTCTCCCTCGCCCGCAGAGCTCGCTCCGCTCCGCTCCGCTCCGTTCCTCCCCAGGCGCCTCCGCCAAGCCCTCTGGAGCGGCCCCTCCAAAGCCTTCGCAGCCCCGCCGCCGGCTGCCGAGCCCGCCGTATTTATACTTTCGTCCCCCGGTTTGACACAGGAGGGTTATTTTTGATCCCGCTCGATTCCACTTCCCCCTCCCCTGGGACTCGGGGAAGCAGCAGGAGAAGTGAAAAAGGAAAAAAAAGTTTTGGATGGAAGTGGAGCCAATCAGGAGCCAGCAGGACCCGCCTCTCTTGTTTAAGTGTCAACTCCAGCCTTTTCTCCCCCTGCCTGGCTCGGTATTAACCCCTGCAGCCCGGCCGCCGCCGAGCTCACAGCGAGAACGCGCCGGCTGGGGGCTCCGCCTTGGTTTACACGGGGGTGAGGTGCAACCCCCTCCGGTTTCACCCACGGAGGCCCGAGTGTCATACCAGCGTCAGACCCTTGCGATTCCAGGGAGAGGCCAATAGACCCCGCGAGAGCACATTCCCTCCCTTACCTTCCAGGCAGCATCTTGCTCGCTTTTCCCTCCGTGGTCCCCGCTGCCCATGTCCCATGCCAGCCAGCCCCATTCACCTGCAGTGAGAAGCAAATGCTGCCACACAGTGCGGCTCTGAACAGAGCATCAACCAAGGCAGCGCCTGGAGGGCCTGGGTGAAGGTTCCCCAAGCCAAAATAAAGCACCAGGCTGGTCAGACAGACTCCTGGTGCCTAAGCAAATAAAATGACCCAAATACCATTATTCCTTCCCCACTTTATTGCTGTGGGGGGAGAGGAGGGTTCCAGAAATTAGCCTCTCTCATGGTTAAGAGAAATAGCAATCAAAGTCATTCCCTTCTGTTGCGAGGCTAGTATCTCTCTACCTCTAGACTGCAAGCCTCTTTCGAAAAAGAGTGTCTAGACGACAACCAGTACTTTCGAAAAAGCAAGCCGCTTTTTCGAAAGAGCACTCAGGCAGTCAGGATGCTCTCAAAGAGCACTTTTGAAAAAAGGTGTTCTTCCTCGTAAAATGAGGTTTTCCATGCTCGAAAAAACTGCCGCGTTCTTTCGATTTACTTTCGACAGAACACGGAGGCAGTGTAGACACAGGGGAAGTTTTTTTCCGAAAAAAACCCTGTAGTCTAGACACACCCAATCTGTGAGTCCCAATCCCTGCATCAGACAAAGTGGTTTTGACCCACAAAAGCTGATGCCCAACTAAATCTGTTCATCTTTGAGGAGCCCCGGGATTCCGCGTTTTTGCAGGGAGTGGAATTCCTCATCTGGGAAGCGGCCCCGCCAGGTAAGTCACCTCCTGGCGTGTGCTCAATAAGCAAATGCGAGTCGCGGATTCACAGAAAGCAAAGGGGGGGGGTGAGAGCCGTGGAAGAAGGAAATCAGCCCCCCCTCCCTGGATTAGTGTTTCTTTCTATCTAAGGTCCCTTTCCCTCCTAGCTCACAAGCCCCTCTCTTCCTGCCCTGTTGCACACCCTATGGAACAGCATCACTGACGTTTCTTCATGCTGCAAAGCCCACCCTGGGGAGTGTCAGCAGACTGACAGGTGCTCAGGATGGGGCCCAAACTTTCTGTCTCCTCCCTGCCAGGCCAGCCCCTCTAACCTGTGTGTTAAAGGCTAAAATATAGGAAAGGCTGATGCAGGGTTTTGAGGCTCTAGCTACCTGCTCCCCGGTAGCCAGGGCAATCAATGGGATGGACAAGACTTGGGGGAGGGGAGCAGGATCTGTGTGCAAAGGCGTTTCCTGACCCAAGTATCTGAAGGTGAGATCTGAAAGCCCAGCTGGGCCCCATGGGCTGTGGGTATAAGAGGCAGGGGAAGGCGTTGCCTTTCTCAGGTGCCAGGTGTGGCTTCGCCCACACTCCACTCCCGTGCTCCAGAGCTGGGGTGGCTCATGTGAGAGGCTGGCGATCTGCCCCTGGGGGGGTGGGGCCTAGGCTCCTGCAGGGGGCAGGGCCTGGGGTGGAAGAGGGGGGACGGGTGGGTTGCCTCCCCACTGCCCATGCTGGGCCTCTCTTGCCCACCCCTCAGCATCTGCAATAAGGAGGCTGCTACTGGCTACCAGCTGTTAACCCAGTTGCTTATGACACAGAAGTCTAAATGGACTCCAGCCCACTCGTAGCTGTGCGGGGCCAGAGAACCAAGATGTCCTGTCATTTACTTTGTAATTAACGCTGCAGGCAGGACTCTGCTGCACACAGCCGCGCGGAGGCCGGTTCTGCATAGCGCTTGTTCTGGAGAATCACTTCACGTCGCTATTTTTTGGGGGGAGGGGTGGGGACGTTACTTTAAGAAAAGTCCACGTCTAGGACATGACCCTCCTGCAGTATCTTTCAGACAATGACGCTAGCCACACAGTGCCCTGTTCTGTGAGGTGGCCATTCCTACCCTCATTTTAAAGATGGGGAAACTGAGGCACAGGTGGGCACTGTGACTTGCGCAGTGTCACGCAAGGAGTCAATGAAGAGACTATGGCAATAGCGCCTGCACAAGGTGCGGGGGACACATCTTTCCACTAGGATGCAGTTCATTCCTTATCCTCCTCTTCCATCGCCCTTGCCTTTGACCTATGAGGCCACATGTATATCGAGACTTTAGGCAGCCCTGGTTCTCATTAGTGGTTTTCTCTGCAAACAGTAGCTCGCAGTTTTCTGTAGCTGCTACAAGTCTTCCAGGGCTTGTTAAAGCCAGTTCTAAGGAGTGCTGAGGGATAACGTAACCAAACCTGGTTCACCTCTGGCTTCAGGCTGATTTGAGGAGCAGATGCAAAAAGAGCCACTGGCTTCTCTGGAGTGTTTGCTTCTCCTTGTAACCCTTTCAGACCCACCTCCCAAGCCACTTGGGCATGCCCCCGGGGAGGGGAGGCGTGTAGGCAGCAATGCCATTCTCACTGAAATCAGTGGCAAAGCAGGAGTAAGACCTTAAGCTCCACGGGAGGGGTGTCGCGTATAAAACCATCTCGTTAATAATCAATGTGCGTCTAAAGACTCTTTGATCCAACTGCTTGCAGACTCTTTTCCCTTCCCCTCCCCTCTAGATACCTGAAGCGATCACTGCACTGAGCCAGGGAACTAAGAAAAAGAAACCTCAGGGAAGTCCCCAGCATTCAACACACAAGAAGCCCAACCCTGCTGTCCTTCCTACAGCGCTGATTTCTGGGCACGTTTTGGTTCCAGGATTGGGCCCCTTCTCCCATGATTGTGTAGCCATGAAAAGCCTCTAGTAGCTGCTGCTCACTTTCACTGGTCACCTGTGCTGCATGGTCACCTGCCTGATTTGGAGATTTATTTCTCTTTTGCAGCACCGAGGCATCGCAGCATCTTTCTTCTGTGTAATTTGCCCTCAGGCCTCTGCTTTCTCTGTGCTGTCAGGGGAGAACCTCTTTGATGAACAAAGCACATAGGAAACCAGCCAGGAGTCCTGTGGCACCATAAAGACTAGCAGACTGATTGGGGCATAAGCTGCTATGGGCTGGAATACACTTCATCAGATGCATGGCGTGGAAAGCACAGAGGAAGGGCGTAGCAAAAGAAGGGAGTTGCTTATTGAGTGTAGGACCAGTGCTAAGGAGGCCAATTCAGTCAGGGTGGATATGACTCACTCCCAGCAGTTGATGGGGAGGCGTGAATACCAGGAGAGGGCAAATTGCCTTTGTCGTGAGAGAACCATTCTAGGTCCTTATTCCATACTAATTTGCTGGTGTTAAAATTTGCAAATGAATTGCAGCTCTGATAAGTAACTCCCTTCTTCTGATATACTAGTCTGCATATATATATCCTGCCTCTATTGCCACTCTACATTTCCACTTCAATGCACCTGATGATGTGGTTTTTGCTCAAGCAGAACTCCTTGTTGTTTTTGCAGAAACACAACACGGCTGCTCCTCTGAGACAAAGCACATCTAATCCTACCACTCCAAAGACAACCAGCAGATGTCAGTGCCGCTTTGGTCTTTATCACTTGGGCAGCTAACGAACTCCCAACAACGGGAACCGGCAGTGTCTTGGGTTCTCACATCACACAGACTGTGGTGAAAAGGGTTGGGAGGTAGAGGGCGTGTTTGTCCATTAGGTTCAGTATCTATCCAGCCATTCATCCAGTGTTAGGCATAGATCAGCTGCTTGCAAACCAGGTTAAATTACCTTTGCATGTGAATATCACTCTGATTTGACTAACACTGTTCTCCACTGGGTTCTCAGCTGGCAGCTGTCTGGGCGTAGCACCTGATCTTCCACTCTTGCGACTGGGACAGTTTCCACGAAAGAACTAGCAAAATGATCAGCTTCAGCAAACATCTTTACCTCCATGGGGGAACAATTTGGACAGGCCTCCCATTGGCTCTGCATGCCTTGGACCAACTTCGGGGGTTGTGGGTGTTGAATCAGAAGTTTTTATTCAAGCCTCTAACTGACAGTGAAGTGCGCAAATGAAAAAAAAGACAGTGAATAGCTTGTGTACACAGGGCCTGACTCTTAGCACTCCTGCACTGGTGTGAGCCCAGAGGCGCTCACCCGAAACTAGCAGAGTAAATTGAGAGTAACTAAGAACAGAATTTAATAACATAAGAGTGGCCAGATTGGGTCAGATCAAAGGTCCATCTAGCCCAGTGTCCTGTCTGCCCACAGTGGCCAGCGTCAGGTGCCCCAGGGGGAATGAATGGAGTTTGGCCCAGCCCCTATAAATACTCTATCTCATAAGGCTGAAATGATACACCTGATTCATTTTCCTTTGAAATAAAACCCAGTGGATTGGAACAAATCTCTGTAAGAAAAGCATCTGCATTTTCAAGTCAGCGGACTGGACTTGTCTCTCACCAGATTATTGTCTAGTGCACCCAGGGAAAAACTGCTTGATCACAAAGACGTGAAACTACAGGTCAGGCAAATGTTTATAGCTTCGCATTTTCTTTAGCTAACGTGTGAAGAGAGGCACCTCGAACACCAGTGTACACTGTCGAATGAGATCATCAATATACAACTAGCATAGTAAATCATATACATTTGGCCACCAGAGGTCCCCCTTGATTCATAAGTGCTGTTAATTTAGACTATAAACACAGAAAACCCTGCCATAGTATGCAAAAAAACATTAAGATTTCTCCTTGCTAGAATGTTTTACTCTATTTATATATGTCAGTGTAGGGCCTTGACATTTTTATTTCAGTTAGTTTCTAAAAAAAACCATTTCTATTGAATTACAGAGCTAAGGATGACTTTATTTCCCTCCAGAGGGCAGCCTTGACTGACTGTGGTTTCCAATTGTTTTCACCCTGAAGGGCCATTGAGTGGTACTCTTATACACAGGTCTGTGAGCATGCTTTAAGGAGCACAGGTTTATAGCTTTCCAAAAATACTAGTCCCGTCATTCCAGCTTAATTAGTCACTGAAGAGGAACCATGCTAAGAATATGTCTGATGACCTTGGCTGGCACCTCTGGAAACATGGGTTCAGTCCCACCGCTGCGATTTTTGGCAAGCCGGTTTAATTGTTCCGTGCCTCAATTTCCCCTCTGTGAAAT